TGCAAAGACACAAATAAATGTCATTTCATACAGAAAACAAGACCAGCCTAGAAGGACCAGACTGAAGCAACTGGGCAAGACTTAGTGGTGCTGAGGACCAGGCTGGAAATCACTGGGAGCATCCCACCAGCTGGAGCTGCTTCTGTCCCAAAAGTCTGGGGTGGGGACAGTGCACAGGGTGACAGCAAGGGCAGGGAGCACATCCCACAGAGCAGGGGGAGCCCCTGGGGATCCACACTCACCTCCCTCTGCTCACTGCTCCAGGCCCCATCCAACTGGCCTGGAACACTCCCAGGGCTGGAGCAGCCACAGCTGCTCTGGGCAACCTGTGCCAGTGTCTCAGCACCTCCCAGGGAGGAATTCCTTCCTAAAGCAAAGCACTGTGGAACATGCAGCCTCTGACTGTTCCTAAATGCCCTACTGCAGTTAAGAGAACCATCTTGCAGCACTTCTCCAACCACCAGTGAAGCCCAGCACAGAGCTGCAGCTCCAGGACTCTGCATACATTATCCAACCAGAGCTGTGTTATCACAACATCTCTTCTAGGTGGAAGACATCAGCTCTGCTAAAACCCACCAGGGAATCTCCCACTCCTCCCCACGCAGGGGCTGATCCCCTGGGCTCCATCCAGGCTGCCAGTGAGGAGGTGCCTCCTGGCAGTTCTTAATGAACCTGCAGCCTGTTCCCAGCAGGGAGATGGGATTGCTGGGCTGGGTGGGCAGCAGTGGAGCCAGACAGAGCCAGCAGTGGGAGAAATCACTGTTCTCACAGCTACAGTGTCACCAGACAGCAGATGGGTGAGCTCACAAGTTCCTCCACTCTCCTTCTCCTGAAGCTTCAGCTGCACCATGACCACAGGGGCTCTAAATACAGCAACTCCTGCTTGCATCCTTTGCTTGGAAAATAACATCCTCACACCATGGAGAGGTGAGTTTGTGCCTTCCCACTTTGCTCTTCATGGAGAAGTTATCTGCTAGCCTAACTCCTTGCTCCAGCATTGGATGAGGCTTGGAGCAACCTGGGCTCTACTGGGAGGTGTCCCTGTCCATGGCAGGGGGTGGAACTGGATGAGTTTGAAGGTTCTTCCAACCCAAACCAGTCTGGGATGTACCCAAGAGAATCAGCTGACTATCCCTGCCCTTCAGATCCATAGGGGATGTCTTCCTGCAGGATAATCCAGCTGCTGGAGCCACCATCCACCTCCAGTGCCTTCCCAAGCTCCATGGCCAACACACCCTGCTGCAAGCACAGAGATCCCAGCAGCTCCAGGAGAGCTGCATCATCCCATGAACACCCAGCCAGCAGCATTCCAACTAAAACCTGGAAACTGGCTGTTCCCCAAGCATTTCTGGCTCAACCAGAATGAATCCCAGCCCACACCCACCCCATGCAGGGCAGGGTCCCCACCACGAGCCCCCAGTGACCAGCACCAGCAGCCTCTGTCACAGCACATCACTCCCACCTCCCCAGGGGAAACATTCCAGGAGGAAAAGCCCTTTAATTTCCCAGCAGTGAAGCACATGTGCAAGTCCTGTAGCTCCTGCAATCCCCCTCACTGCACTGCAAGAGCTCCAAGCAAAGCAGCTTCCCTTTGGAAATCTGCAAGCCCAAACAAACTTATTATAGAAACTAGAACAAATGGCACAATCAAAGAGGGAAAAAAAAAAAAAAGCCTTTGCATTTCAAGAGATTCATTATTTAGCTGCAAAAAATCTCTCCCAGTCTCTCATTTACCAGCAACAGCTCCTTAAGTGGTTTCTGGAAGCAGCTCTGGCAGCCAGTACACACACCTGTGGCACCAGTTGCAAGCAAAGCACATTTCCCTAATTAAAACATCTATTCAAGGAGGAGAAATTAGGGTTTTTTTTTCCCCCCTCCCCGATTCAAACACTGCTGTGAGAGCACTGCATAAAAAAGCTACCGTTTAAGTCCTGGGGTGAACCTGGAAGGGAAAGCAAAGGAGTGTTGTGCTGAGCTTTCTGGGCTGGGAAGCTCCTCCAGCACCTCTAGAGCTCCACACTGTTATCCCACTGACAGCAAGGGAAGCTCTTCTCTTGCCAGGGACAAGCTCTCTGCCTTCCCACGAGCTTTCCCCTCCCCTAGATATCATTTCTTTATCACTTTTATTGCACGTAAACCAGCCCTCCAGTTCCTCCCTCTCCTTTACATGTCTCCTTGCACGTAAACCCTTCAGTTCCTCCCTCTCCTTTACATGTCTCCAGGGCTACAGCAGCATCTTCCTCACCCTTATCCACACTTCAAAGTGCCCATCCCTCTGGCCTCTCCAAGACTAACTTCAAAGGGCAGGAAATCTCCTTCAAATTATTAAAACAGGGGAGAAGAAAGCCAAGAGAGGAGGAATTGAAGGCAGTGGCAGGGAGCTGGCTCAGCCCAGCACTGGGAACATTGCTGATCCCCTGTGGAGGGGGAGAACATCCATCATCTGCCAAGGAAGTAGGGATTAGTCACTGATGGGAGATTTAAGGAGCTGTATCTGAAATGCTCGGCGTGTACCTGAGATAACAGCAATAAAACAGTCTCCTGGTAATATAATATTGGCCCAGCAACATAAATATGGCTTGGAAGGGGAAGGGGAGTAGGCTCAGGGTGGTGAGGACTTTCTCAGGTGCTCCTGTCCATACCCCAGAGCCCTGGAGAGTGCAGGGAAGGGCTCATGGTCATGGGAGACCTGAAAACATCTCCTGTGGTCTGTGGCAGGAAAAGGAACCCACAGACATGAGGAATCAACCACCTCAGGCTGGGCCCAACCCTAGATGGGATGGAAACAGTGGTGGGTTTGGCAGTGTTGGGGTCATGGTTGACCTTAGAGGCCCTTTCCAACCTAAACAGCTCCATGAAACTCACAGGGCTGCAGCATCAGCATTTCCTCTTCCACCAGGACCAGAGGGATGCAGAGAAGGACAGAAAGTCACTGGCATTAAGTGCTGATGATTCCAGGGAACAAGACTTAACAGTGGAACAGGCACATGAGGGTTTGTTGTGCTGAAATATTCATCGCCACTGCAGAAAGGAAAGGTAAAGCTGTGCCTAATGGGTTGGAAGTTGTGTCAGGGAGGATATTTAATGCAGCAAAAGTGGTGAGAGTAGGAGCTGATCCATGAGGAACCACTTGATCCAGGACACCATGAGCCAGGAGCACACTGGAACCAGCAGGGACAAACCCAACCACCACATCCATGGCAAAGAAACTCCAGTAAAACACAAAGGAGGTCACAAAGTGCCTCCAGAATTAAGCACTGCTTTGCCTCCTTGGGGAAATCATGTGCCTTAAAGGGCTGAATATTAAATTAAGGCTAATTTTCCTGGTATGGAAGAGGCAGGCAAAGCAGCCAAGCTGCAGATTAAAGAAAACATAATTAAAATTGGGATGAGAAATGAGAAGTAATTTGCTTGCCCTACAAGTGTGCAGGTAACTAAAGGCACAGCATCATTTGGGCTCTTACAGGCTGAGAGGCCTCACCATGCAGGGAAGATGCCCAAGGAGGCCTGGGGGGGACTCAGGTTTTCCCCAGGATCCCATTCCATGCTCATGCATCACTCCAGGTGCTTGCTGTCTCCTGGGGTGTGATACAGGAGGGTTGTTATTTTGCAGGCTCAGAAATGAGAGGAAGGTTTGAGGAGTGGTAAAAAACCCACTCCAAACCTCACGAAGTCTCGAGCAGCACATCAGGTGTTTCCTGGCTATGACTTAACCTCATCTCCTCTACAAGTTGGCATCTCAGGAGACATTTCTGTCTCCAGCAACCTCCCTGCCCTTCCTTGGCCTGTTTTTAGTTTGATGCTGTCTGCACACAAGGAAGAAGATCCCAGGCTGTGGTCCCCAGAGAGCATCCCTGCTGTTGGCTACTAAGGTTAAGGACTTAATCCCCTGTGAATTCAGCCATCTGCTCCAGCACTGCCCATGTGTCAGCCCAGCAACAAGCAGCCAAACTCCAATGCAATCCTGCTCAACAGCTGGTCCTCTTGGAGGAAAGGCTGTGACCCATGGGGAGCCAGGCAGGACACCACACTGAGAGGGGCAGGGCTGAATCCATGTGTCACCTCAGCCCCTGGAGAGGCAGCTCCATGCCACAGGGTGCTCTCCAGAAATATCACATTTCCTAACTTTGGGTGGTTTTGGATGTTTTCTTCAATGCCAAGAGCATGCTGGAACTCATTAGGCAGCAGAGCAGACTCAGTGGGTTATTGATGACACCCAATTATAGATGCAGAATGGAGTCAATTAGTGCCTGCAGGTGCTCCTGTGTCAGCTGGGAGGAACAGGCTCTTTGGGGACTGCAGCTGGAGCATCACCACCACTGGAGAGAGCACAGCCACCCCCTGAGCAGGAGCCCAAGCCAAGACAGGCCAAGAGCAGATTCAGCCCTGCCAACATGGACCTCCAATCCTCTGCTCAACCTCCAGCCTCCCAGCAGCTCTAGAGTCCCTCAACTCCAGCTGGACACATTGCTGGGTCATGTTTAAGGTGATTTCAGCTCCTCTTATCCTTCTCTGTGCCAGGAGACAATGACCCAGCCAAAAAAAAACCCCACAAAGTGTCCCTGTCCTCCAGGGCTCATCGGCATCCAGCTCACGTCTCCCACGGGCTCCATCCTCCCTCAGTGCTAAAAATACCCTTTCACTGGATTAATTTGAGCTGTATTTGACATGAAGTCCAATTCCACAAACAGCAGCTCAACAAGCAGCATTGATTTGTTCCCACCCTGGCTGAGGCAAGGAGCTGGTGGGATGGTGGATACAGAAAGGACAGGAGAGGGCAGGAGATGGAGGGCACTGAATCAGGAGGATCGGAGGCCCAAGGAGGTTCATCTGCAGCCAGAACACAGCTGGAGGCTTCAGGAATGCTCAAATGAATCCCTCAAACACATCCACTTAGTGTGACAAGTCTAAGTATTTGCCACAGATTCCTCCTTTGGAAGGGGCACTCACTCCACATATGAGATATTCCTCATATTAACCAAAACAGGGATTTCAGGGAATCCCACAATGATTTGGGTTGGAAGGACCTTAAAGCTCATCTCATTCCACCCCCTGCCCTGGGCAGGGACACCTTCCCCTAGCCCAGGTTGCTCCAAGCCTCATCTAACCTGGCCTGGAACACTCCCAGGGATGGAGCAGCCACAGCTGCTCTGGGCTTTAATGCATCTTAAATTTTAGCCCTTACAGGAACAGAAAATCCAGTAAAATCCCAGAAAAATCAGGCTTTCCAGGAGCAGCTCCCCATATTTCTGTGTTGAACATCCTACAGCTCTTAGGGTGGAAGGAATCTGAAAGCCCATCCAGTCTCACCCCCTGCCCTGGGCAGGGACACCTTCCATCAGACCAGGCTGCTCCAAACCCTGTCCAGCCTGGCCTGGAACACTCCCAGGGATGGAGCAGCCACAGCTGCTCTGGGTTTAATGCATCTTAAATTTTTGTCCTTACAGGAGTAGAAAATCCCAGAAAATCCCCCCCAAAAAAAATCAGGCTTTCCAGGAGCAGCCTGTCCAAGGAAGGGACAGCCACAGCCTCCCTGCCAGAGGCCACTGGCAAACCTGGATTAGTCTGTAATATAAGGAGCTATCCTGGATAACATCCGAGCAGCTCCTGACTGGCTGATTCTGTACGAGGCTGATACAGACTCTGTCCCATATTTCTGGAGCTGAACATCCTACAGCTCTTGTTGTGCAAGCCAACAAACACAAAGGGGCTGGCACAGCTCCCGCTTCGCCTCCACGAGGGAGGGACTCGCATCCGCCAGCATTCCCTGCTCCCAGCCCGCAGCTTTTCATGAATGAGGATGAGCAAACCTCCTCCTGGCCTAACCAAGGCACAAGGCAGAGTTTCTGCAGGTTGGCAAACAGCTGCACGCTGCAAAATAAATCTCTCTGCCCCCTTCCCCTCCCTGCTGAAGTTGATTTATGCCTGAGCCGAAGAGCATCGTGTTGGAGAGTAATTCTTACAGGGCTGCAAATGGGCAAAGCCAAGGAAAGGCTGTTTGTAAGCACTTTTGGGGAATGAATCACCACCATTCAGAACTTTTTCACCGGGTTTCTGCCAAAAAAGGAGAGGAGGGGAAAGTGCTGCGTGGTGTAACACGAGGTGATGCCAAGCAGGGGAGGTACCCCCAGCCTGGGGGAGCAGCACACCCGTGGGCTATGTGATGAGCTCATGCAGTGAGAACAACCTCTGCCAGGGCAAAATCTGCCCAGGCAGCTCACACACCTCCTTCCTAACCCAGGGTTCCTACAGGAGAATAAAGAAATCCACCACTTTGGCTGCAGCCACAGCACCCCATCATGCACAAACACACACTGAGCATTTCAGGGACAGCAAACTCTGTCTCTGAGCTATGGGAGAGGCTTTGGCACTCCCTGAAGCAGTGGAGACTGTGGCTCCTGCCTGGGCTTGAGTGTTTTCCCTGCAAGGAAAAAGAGCTGTTGATGCTTAAGCTCAGCAAGAAGAAGCTGCCCCTCTGTAAGGAGAGCAGGTGTGATGCCTGGCAAACAGGATTACAGAGATGCCCTCTGGAAAACCAACCCCAGCAGAGCAAGCTGATAGCTCATCATTAGCATATTTCACCTGGCACCTTTGCCCAGGCAGAGCAGAGAGGCAAGAAAGCAAACAGGGGCAGTTCTCACCCTCTGTGTGGGCACCCCCAGGAGCTGGTCCAGCACATGCCCAGCCCTCAGCACCACTCAGCCCTACTCAGCATCACTCAGACAGCTCATTTCAGGATGGCAGGAGGGTTTAACCCCTGGGATAGACCCACCACCCCTCCAGCCACGTGCGTAAGCTCCCAAACCAAGCCAAAACCTCTCCCGGTGAGCTGAGTCTTTCAGGCTCAGCACTGCACAAGCAGCTTCACTGAATGAAAGGTTATTAATGATCCCTTTTAGAGCAGCAAAACGAGTGTGAGTACAAATCCTTTGTCCACGGCACAGGGAGCAGCAGCAGCAGCACACGGAGCAGTTCCCTCCCCTGCGCACAGGTTCCTCCTGGCCAAGGACCAAAGATCCCCCGCAGGCTCCTTTCAGGAGAAACACTGCACTGCAGTAGCTGCTGCCCAGGAAAGCAGCCAAGCAAGAGTTTCCTGCCTCTGTACCAGCACAGCTTGGGGTCCCTCCATCCCCAGCAGCACCAGGGGGATGTAGGAGGTGGGACCTTTCTTACCCGATGCGCTCCTGCTCCATCTCCTCCATCTTCTCGGCGCGGGCGATGACTCGGTTGATGATCTCCTTCTCCTCATCCGTCAGCTCCTCACCCTTGCGCTGCCGCTCGGGCTGAGCACCCCGTGCTGTCCAGCCAGAGGGGGGGAGCCTGTGGGGACAGCAGGAACAGGATTGATCCATGGATCATGGGTGTGCATGGGCAACAGCCAAGTGTCAACTCCCAAGCTCATGAGTAGAGGTGCAACACCTTCTCATCCTCCAAATCCCTTCTAGCCTGCAATTGTCTCTACTCGTGGCTGGAAGTTCTTTATTTTGGGGGGGTTTCATATGGAAATATTTGTCTTTTATGCCTCAAGCAACATTCTAGTGTCTGACTCTGTCAGGGTGGGATATTGCCCAGGGAGATGGTGGTGGAGTCACCATCCCTAGAGAGGTTGAAGAGGTGTCTGATCTGGCACTGGAGGTTATGGTTTAGGGTTCAGAGGTTACAGCAGTGATAGGTTAAGGTAAGGGTTGGATCTTAGAGGTCTCCCCCAACCTTGATGATCTATGATTCTATGGAAGCTGCAGAGGGATCTGTGTTAGGAGCTGCAAGGACAGGACAAGGGGTAACGGGTTCAAATTGAAGGAGGGGAAGTTTAGGTTAGATCTTAGGCAGAAGTTTTCCCTGTGAGGGTGGTGAGACACTGGCACAGGGGGCCCAGGGAGGCTGTGGCTGCCCCAGCCCTGGCAGTGTTCACAGCCAGGTTGGATGAGCCTTGAGCAACCTGCTCTGGTAGGAGGTGTCCCTGCCCAGGGCAGGAGTTGGGGCTGGATGATCTCTAAGCTCCATTCCAACCCCTTAACACACTGATTTACTGATCTATCGACCACTGACATGGAGGAAAAAAAAAATCCTTTTCAAAAATATTCTCATTATTTCCACATTCAGCACCAACCAACACAGCTCATTTTGTACTCTGCTCTGTGCTGTGGAGCACCAGGTTTACCAGGGTGATGGTGCAGGAGTGGGTGGGTTTTTTTGGGAACATTTCAGCAAGCATGGGAGTGTTTCCTCCCCTAACATCATTTCCAAGGATCCTTTCACCCAGCCTGGGCGTCAGGCAGCGCTAACCTGGTGACAGGGTAACGTCTGCCACTCAGAATGCAGCAAGGAAGGATGCAAGAGGCAAATGTCCCTCATACCCTCAACCTTCTGCTCATCTGAAAACCTTTCCTTACTCTTTTCCCCCTGGATTGAACAGAAGCACATGGTCTTGAACCTTAAATTCATTAAAACCCTGTGCAATGCTGCCCAAACTCAATTTGTTATTATTTTTGGCATCCAAAACAAGGTTTTCCTTGTTCTCTCAAGACCATCAGAGTCGCAGGTAAAGAGCAATATGTCCAAAAAAAAAAAAAAAAAAAAAAGACCAGCCCCATATTTCATTCACAGGTTTTTGATATGAGAACTTCATATGAGTATTTCAACAAGGGCAAAAAGGATGAGAGGAGGGATGAAGAGGCACAGACAGCAACGACCCAACATCAGGGTGATGGTCCCCAACAGCATGTCCCTCCCCATGGGCCACCAATACTCTCCCAAAGCAGCTCCAAACATGAGCTTTGCTCAGCCCTGGCATTATCCAGGCACCCAAACCCACACCCATGCAGCACCCAGCACCCAGCTGGGACAGATGTGCTGGGATGCAGCATCACCCTGTGTGGTGGCCACACTGGAAGGAGTCAGGACAGCCAGAGCTCCTCAGCAGCACCACACAGCCACCCCATGGGCCTGTCCCACCACCTGGCTCAGGACATCTAGGAGAGAACATGGCAAAACGTGTCCATCCAACCCGCAGAAACCCAACTCCCGATGTCCCCAGAGGATGAGCTGAGGTGGCTGTACCTGTGTCACCTCCCAGCCTGGGGACACTCTCCTCCCTCCCTCCCTCAGCCTCCTCCTCTCACCTGGCTCGGAGAGACATGGTCCTGTCGCTGGGGCACATCCACCGGTCGGAGCTGCCTCCCACCACGGCGTCGGTCATCGCCGGCCGCCGCGGGCCCCGGCCGGGCAGGGTGGGCACAGTGGTGCCCCAACACCAACAGACACCTCAGCACCTCAGGAAACCACTGGGCTCTCAGCTAGCAGTGATGCCAATGAAGGAAAGCTGGAGCTTTCCACCAGGCTGTTGGGAAGAAACAACAAGAACCCTCAAATCACACCAGGAAGGGATTTAAGAGAATCTGCAGCAGGAAGAGGAGAAGGAATGTCCTTTTAGTGACTATCTTGATGCACAGGAGCCTACAACCACCCCCTCCCAGGAGGGCAGCACAGCCAAGCTCAGCACTGATGTAATTAATGAGACACCTGAGCTCACAGTAATTATGAGGCTTCAGAGCTGGGAGGGAAGAGGTTCCACTGCAGAGAAAGTTTTCTAGTTTGTGGATTTTTCTCCCCCCAAACCAAACACTCTCTGCAAGAAACTCCTCCTGAGTTTGAGCAAATGGACCTAGGAGAGGCACCGAAGGAGGATGTGGCAACAGGATCTGAACAAAACAGTCTGTCCACTCATCTCCTAAGGCTCATCAAGAAATGGTTCTGCAAACCCTTCTCCTTTCAGCAAAACTGACTTTAACTAAGTTTCTATTAAAATACAAGCTGATGTCAAATCCAGAGCTTGAATGTTGTTTTATTCCCATTTTCTGTGGGTGTTTTCCCACTGTCCCTGTTCACTGCATGGGGATGGGGATTGGATGGCAAAGCCCAGACTGATGCTGTCCAGCACTACCCACAGCTCAGGGATGGATCCATCCATCCCATCATCTCTTCTGAGGGAAAACCAGTGTTTTATTGGAGGCTGATCACCTTGGGCAGAGCAGTGTCCCCCAGCCCAGCCCAGGGCAGGATCCATCCCCTGCACAGCTGCTCATCCCTGCACAGTGCCAGGGATGCTGTGGTGGCACTGCCAGTCACTGTCCCTCCTGGGTCACTCTCAGCATGGCCCCAAGAGCAGAGGAAACAGCTCGTGGCTCCAGGGGTGGCATCACCCATAAGATATCACTTGCAAAGGTGCTCAGGTCAAACCTCCCTTTACAGCCCTTAAGGTGGGACTAAAAGAGAAGACAATCCCTCTGCAAAGAGCTTTGCTGCAGTGCTGACCAGAGCACAAGGAGGATACAGATTGCTCCTTCCTTAGGGCCTCCTGCTGATGGGGGAAAGTTTTGCAGCTCAGCTACTTCACACCCCCAGGTTTTCCCCCACCTACCCCTTCAAAGGATGGAGGTACCAGCTGGGACCCCCAGCTGCAGCCTCCCACCTGCATCACTCACAGCACCTGCATCTGAATTGCTTCCTCTGCCTGCAGCACAGCTGAAAACTACACAACCCCTCCAAATTCCTCTGCAGAGTCCAACCATGGGCCATTCATCCTCCCATCCTGCTGCCCTGGATTCCTCCCAGTCTGGAAAGGACTGCTCACATCCCATCAGGTCCCAGCACCAACACCAGCATCCCAGAGCTGCCAGTTCCTCCTACCAGGACCAGAGCTCAGCCCAAACCTTTGCAGGGCACAGAGCAACTCCAGCAGAACTCCAACAGAGGCACTGGGGAGGTTATCCCAAGGAAAAGATGGAATACAGGAGCTTACAAAACTGCCCCACTGAAATCACAAACTCCAAGCCATGACAAAAGATGCAGGGAGGAAAAGGATGGAATTCCCATCCTCCACCTCCTGCTCTGCAGTGTTGCAGGGGTTTCTCCATCACTCCCTGAGGAGTCAGGAGAGATTTGAGGCTCACCTTGGCTTCATGGAAAACTTGGATATGTAAAAATATTTGGGGCAAAAAAAAAAGGAGAAGTGAAGCACGTGGGTAATTAGTGCTCCACTGGCTTCACACAGAGCCTATTCCTGTGCCAAACCAGAAGGCTCTGATTAACAAGGTCACTTAAAGAAGCAAATTGTTCATTTAAGTCCCCATTGCCACCTCCACAATCCGCACTGCAGCACCAAACTCCTGCTGGGAATGAAGTGTCCCAGCAGAGCCAGGAGAGCTCCTGGGGTGGGCACAGGTTTGGGGGGCACAGGTTTAGCTGAGTGTCTGGGGAAGAGCAGCAGTGCTGGGATATCAGACCCATTTGTGGGGGGGACATGGGTGAGCAAGGGACTCACCCAAGGTCACATGGAGCAGGAGCATCCACACTGCAATGGGGGGAAAACAGGGGCAAATCCCTGGTTTTCCCTATCAAAGAGGATAGAGTGATCACTTCCAGCCTCAGGGAGGAAAACTCCTTCCCCCAACTAGAACTTTCTGCTAATAATAGAGAGGCTGGGAGTGTTTGGCTTTGTTGCGGATGGAGCGGAGCCCAGGGACAGCTCCTGCAGGAATACACAATCCTTTCCTCCTCCTATAAATAATAGATTTGGAAGATCTACTTTGCATTACTTCCAGCAACTACCCTCGCTTGCCCTAATGCTTGCTTCTGCATTTTTTAGTGCATGGCAAAGAACAGAATAACAGCTTACAGTGGCTTTTTCCACCCCCCCACACCAAATCCTTGCTCACCAGCGAAAGGATGTGACCATCCAAGTGGTGATCGATGGGATGCAGCAGCAGTGAGTTAATGAAATGGAAATATCCCAACTTAGGAGGTTTGCCAAGACCTTTCAGGGTTTGGCTGACCCCAGAGGGGCCGTGGGCTTGCCCTGTCCCCCAGGTGGGATGAGCAGGATGTGTGGAGGCTCCGAGGTGGATGTGGAGAGAGGCAGGCCGGCGCCGACACGGCGTGTCCCGGGCAGAGCCAGGAATAGCAGTGAGGTCTTAATTTCTGGCCTTAAGGAAGAGCCACATGACTCTAATCACGCTGCTCCATTCCTTCTGTGTGACAGAGCCCCTGCACTCTATCAGGCCTGGAGAAACGGGGACCAAACGCTGTCCATGAATCCCTTTGCCTCTCCCGCCGGCGCCCGCTCCGAGCACAGAGGTGCCAACCCACAGACACCTGAAATCTGGCAGGTGCAGCATCCTCCTCACCCTCCAGCACCCCTGGGCAGGCAGGGACAGGCAGCAGAAGCCCCAGAGCATGAGCCCATCCCACCCCACAGCTCCAGGATGGACACAAGGCTCTTGGCACCCTGAGCAGGACCCAAAGCCACCCACAAACAGCACCTGCACAGAGAGCCCATCCATGCCAGGGCTGCCCAAATGATTAGCCACCTGGGAAAAAGAGCATCCGGGGAGAAACCAGGGATTTCAGGATTTTACAGACTCCCAGGGCAACAGTCAGGGTTTTACAGTGAGCTCAACACTTCACACTCGATGCCTGCAGAGATTGTCTCCACCAGCAAAGACACTGACACAGGCAACCTATTTCTCCAGCCTTCTCAGCTCTGCAATGCAGCTTTCTTAAATATTGAATAAGTCTGCTGCTCTCCACCACCTGCCAGTGCCAATGATGAGGTAATTTTTGCATTGACAAAGCCTAATGTGATTAATCTGGTTTGAAAGCAGCAGGTTTTAGGGCTTCTCCATTCACTCAACACAGCACATTCACAGACAGAGCGCTGGCAGCAGCCAGACCCCAACCAACCTACCCAAACTGCTGCTCTGATGCCAAGCAGGAGATCATTTCTGTGTGTCATCACCACACAGGAGGCTTTGAACTTGAATGGATCCAAACTGGTCCTCTGTGAGGCTGGTGGGGCTTGGGTCTGGCATGGGAGTGGAGTTATGCTCCACAGATGGAGTGGGGATGGAAAAGTAGGGTACTGGGATGGGATTGCTTGATGGGACTCCTCAGCCTCTTTCCCAGACAGAGGCATGTTTTGGGGAGATAAGGACCCACTGGGACCCTCCAGCTGAGCAGTGAGAGGAGCAGGTGGAGAAGTTGTGATGCACCAGGACAGAACTGTCTCCTCAGCACTCACACACCTCCCCAGACACTGTTTGGCTGCAGCTGTCTCCTAGCTCCCAGGGCTGTTTGCCACCATCTCACTAGTCTGGCAGGGCCAGATCCTGCCCTCCTCCAGCACCATATTCCATGCCTGGCACCCAGGAAACTCTTCAAACCACAGGGAACACCAAGTCCTGAGCAGACACCTGGTACAGACACCACCCCCCACATCCAGCTCTGCCCTGAGCATCTCAACATCCAGGCTCTGCCTTTCCCAGGGAAAAACTCCTTTTGTGTGTGGCACAGGAGCCACACACCCCCCACACCATTCCCTGTGGCACATGTTCATGGCTCTAGGGGCCAAGGATGTACCCAAGCAGGCAGTGGGTGCTCACCATCCTCCAGCATCAGGATTTCCTACCCCTGAATTTACCTGCAGAGAGGGGGTTAAAAAAGCCTAAATAGCCCCAAAAATCTCTGCTGAAGCAGCTGTGTGATGCTGCAAAGGAATCAGCACATCACATGGAGGGCCAGGAGAGCAGCACAGACCCATAAGGTCCCACATATCAAAGCTCCCTCAAATCCCAACATTTGTCTCATCTCACACGCAAATTGTTTTAGAAAGTTTGGGTAAAAGTGGCAAGTTGCTTTCTGGGTTTCGCTCAGGGAACAGCCCATGTTTGAGGCTTTCCTGGAGCAGCAGAAAGGAGGAGGCAGAGCTCAGCTGGCAGAACACAGCGTGGCCTGGAGCCTCCCAGGCAGGGCTGACCTCAGGGCATGGCACAGCAGGACAGTCCCTGGCACTGCAGGACAAACTCTGGGTGAGCCACAGCTGTGGCAGCACAACTGCCTATGCTCCCACAAGGATCTGCATCTCCCACAGAACCCTGTGATAGCACCATGGCAAAGCAAGGACCAGGGATCCTGGGAATGCAGCTCTTGGGAAAGACCCAGACCCAGCAAGCCATAGACCTGTGCTCATCCCATCCTTCAGCCCCACAGCAAACCCTTGCAGGGAACAGCATCCCTGGAACTTCCAGCTTGGCACCAGCTGGTTAATTAAAGCTAAGTGTGTCAGCCACAGGTGACTGAGATCCACAGCCCAGAGGCAAAGAGGAAATGCAAAGCAAGGAGAGTTCTGCCTATCCCCCTGTG